GTCACCTGCTAAAAACTTTTTTCCTCCGACTTTGTACTGAACCGAACCTGATGATACCGTTACCATTAGACAACAGGGGACGTCGCGGCATCAAATTAGATATCACAAAGCCATACATCGAGACCTGAATAATGCTAGCTAAGTCTGGACTCCTGGAATAATTGCTAGACTCGTGATGTATCTGGTACGGCTAACAGTTTTCTACAGAAAAGACTCGCCAACGAGCTGAGGCCACGGGACTGCAAACTAGTAAGTAGACAACTACTTAGCCTAGACCCCTTCTGCTCCATGAGGAAGCTACGGTTGCCAAAGCCGACTTGAACATCGACACTGAACAGCGGTCCCTGAACTTTACGACGCAGGACTATGACTCTGCACAACGGTCAACTCTGTTGTCTACAGGTCGCGACTTTGACCTTCTCTACAAACTAGTCATTCACCGCGTCAACTCGTCGTGGTTCTAGAGAAAAAGGTCGTATTCTCTTCAGTTGAAGAGAGTAGGAGCGGGAAGGGGGCAGTTTGTGCAGGCCTGCAGGCTAGGATCGGTCTGTCGTAAACAGTTTGGCTAGAGAATTGACGAAAACAACTACAATGTAATCCCGTCATATTCTTAAATTGTCATTCGTCTTTTCCATTCCATTCGACTCCTTTCAGGGATACTTCCCTCACATATGCTTTGTAACGCTTTACATGCCCCCATGCATCATATTGTTATCCGGCGCACTGTTTCATGCATATTCCCACACCTCGACAGCCCAAGGTTTCCCACCACCTTTATTTTTTCTTCTAGTTTAGTTCAATCGCTTCAATAATTTCAAGACGAAGGTGGACATAGAGTCATATGAATCAAACCATGCAAATGAATTTTACGGAGCACGTCTTCGAATTCTATCGATTCTGTTCTAAACAATGTTCAACAAACAACAACAACAACAACAACGTGTAAAAGCCGCTTATTTGGCAAGAGGTCTCTGAACTACCTCTCATTCTTTGTATGGTTCTTATATTTATGTATAGAAAACAGACGTAGAAATTTCCAGTAACAGAGTTGAAGGCAAAGTAAGTGCCCCAAATTTTTAATACAATGATTCATAAGGACTTGCACAATGATGAAGTAAAGTGGTAAAATACATGAACTCGGTCGATTGGTATGAAGTCTTTGCTATGAAACCATAAAACAAGGATTGCAGGATCGGTTT